TGATATTAATTTTTGCCATAATGAGATTCCTATAGAAATTCCTGCTTCCTTGCCAGAAGAAAAAATTTTAACACAAGTCATAAAAACAAAGCCAAATTCATTTTTTGAAGATTTTTCATCCCTTAGAAGACTTCAAAGAGTTTTTGCCTATATACTTAGATTTGTTCACAATTCTGGAAAAAATTCTGGTGAAAAACTTGAGGGAAGTTTGAAGCTTTCAGAACTGGAACACAGTCTTAGAGTAATCATAAAATGTGAGCAAGACTTTTACTTTTCTAATGACATTAAATCTTTACTTTCCAATACCCCTTTAAAATCCTCATTAAACTCTTTGTCGCCGTTCCTAGATGGCAATGGATTATTGCGAGTGGGTGGAAGGTTACATAATTCAAACATTCCACATAATCAGAAACATCCTGTGATCTTGCCCAAGGAAAGTCACATCACCAAATTAATTATAATACAAGAACATTCAACTTTGTTGCACGCTGGACCAAGACAAGTTTTAGGTTCCCTAAACCTCAATTATTGGCTCATAAATGGAATAAGATTAATTAAAAAAGAGCTACACAAATGTGTGATTTGCTTTAAATTCAAAGCAAAATGTTCCACTCAATTAATGGGTTCCTTGCCGGAAAAAAGAGTCTGTTCAGCCAGAGTGTTTCAAAATGTCGGGGTAGATTTTTGCGGTCCCTTCCTCGTTAAGCAATCTCGAATTAGAAAATCCGTAAGTTCCAAGGCATACATAGCACTTTTTGTGTGCTTTTCAGTCAAAGCAATTCATATGGAACTGCTTTCAGACCTGACAACCGAAAATTTTCTAGCTGCTCTGAAGCGTTTTATTTCGCGGAGGGGGAAGCCCGCAAATATTTTCTGCGACAATGGTTCCACGTTTAAAGGAGCCGAGAATAAAATCAAAGAGTTTTATAACGAAACAGAAAAAATTGAAAATTATTCCCTTCAGGAAAAAATTACATTTAATTTTATACCGAGCTATTCTCCAGTTTTTGGTGGTTTATGGGAAGCTGGAGTAAAATCGGCAAAATTTCACATCAAGCGAGTCATAGGTAGCAATGAGCTTACCTATGAACAATTTAATACTCTTATTGTCCAAGTAGAAGGAATTTTAAATTCCCGACCACTTGTAGCCTTGTCACAAGATCCTTCAGATTTGGACTATTTGACCCCTGGTCATTTTTTGATAGGTGCGCCTATCACAAGCTTTCCTGACCCTGATTTGACGGAAATTCCCCAAGGTCGACTTAAGTTTTGGAAATTGTGTGTCCAGATGCAGCAGCATTTTTGGAAAAAGTGGTATCACGACTATCTAACGCAACTCCAAAATAGGCCAAAATGGCGTGATGAGATGCCTAACCTTAGGGAGGGCTTGTTAGTCATTTTAAAAGAGGATAATGTACCTTCTTATAAGTGGCCAATGGCAAGAATAGTTAAAGCAATACCTGGAAAGGACGGCAAAGTAAGGGTTGTCGAAGTGAAAACCAAAAAAGGTATTTATCTCAGATCGGTTACCAAGATTGCAGTGTTACCGATTGATGACAATAATTGTTAATAATATTTTTGAAAATTATTCACAAAATTCTGTACATATATTTGTAAAACATTTAGATTTATATTTATATTCAATTAGCTATACTCGTATATACATACATAATGTCATACTATGTGTTCCAGAAATGTTTTTAGCTTTAATTGTTAGTTAAGTTTTCGTTTACTGGATCATCATTGAAATCATACCTTTTTTTTAAAAAAAGGGTTGCTTACTTTCTCTTTAATTTTTTTATTTTTTTTTGCTGGAAAATTTTACCTTGGTTTCATGTGAAACTCTAGGCCCCCCAGCATGTTGGAAACATGTTCCAACAATCATGCTATCTCTTTTTGATGGCAAAATATTTTTATACATATAAAGTTTGCAACACTGCAGCGTTGTCGTCATGTCTATTTTGTCATGTCTGTCAATATATTGCGCGCCATTTTTTTGTCATTGCAGCAGTGTAGCTTGGAGCTTGTCCACGTTAACAAGCATCCAAAAACCTTTTCACATTTTAATAAATTTTATAATCTAGCTCTGCCCTGTTGGGCATCTAAGCAAGCTCTGGCTTCTTGTCATCTTGTAGTAGTAATTGTAAATAGTGTAAATATTGTGTAAATTGTTGTAAATATAGTGTCAGTGAAAAGCGCGTGTGTTTTAGTTCCCTATCCAGTCGATCATCCAGTCCACCTAATTATACAGTCCACTAATTATCAAGTTATTTATCTTCCATTATGTGGTTTTGCACACCTGGTAAGGCAGAACAACAAGCATTTACCAACGTGCTTGCCAGAGAAAGCGTCATCGTTGACAGGTGTTTTGGAAAACTGAAACAGAGATTCCCTATTTTACACCATAAAATTCCCAATTCATAATTTTTTGCAAGTTGAGACATGTTTTTATCTGAATCTAAAACACTCCCGTGCCACTTCACGCTGTACTATGCGTGTGAGCATATGCTCAAGATACTTGAGTTCAAGCCAGAAAATGAGCAAATGCTCAGCTTGTGTTTATTTATACTAACCAACAGTAAAAGCTCAGACTCTGCCCTCATACTCAGAGCAGTCACTCCGTGCTCAGACTCAGGTTTATTAATACCACCCATGTAGGCTTCTGCTTACTGCAGATTGCGACATGGGACACAACAAGCCTTTGCCCACAGACTTTTGATAGCTGCCTTGAGCCAGAAAATAGAGGGCTGAAAAGAACTTAATTTCCAAGTCAGACCGGTTTTTTTACCTTACACACTTGCAGCACCTTAGGTATCTTGGTCGATCTGGAACCTCCTTTCAGCTGTTGTTCAATTTCTTGAAAGACGTAACGGGCAATATCTACGTTTACTCTGTAAACCTTCCTAATTACCTCATTTAGCATGAAAAAAGGATCACTGGTGTCCCTTAACTGCCTTATAGCAATGTTGTAGTTATTTCTAAAATGGAAGAACAAAAAACATAACAAATGAATTTTCAAAGCCAATTGGAAACCCACCGTCGCTGAATTTCATCTGCTAGATTATCCAAAACAGCATCCAGCAGCAATATTTTTATTTCCACAAAAAAATCACTTAATGTACGCTTGCGCTCTAGCGTTTTGTGCACAATGCATGATCGATAATGCGTATTCACTATCCGTTATGCGTTGTAACTATAAACGGTGTATTTAAATATAATGTTCTATAAATTATACATTATGAATTAATTGTGCATTATGCATTAAGAGTTGGCCAAACCCACCTTCAGCCATTATTGAAATAGCCAAGCTTCACTAGAACAGATCTTTCATCCTAAAGATAAAATTCGAGTTTTTCTCCAACGCAACCCTTCCTCGTCTTTGCTAGAAAATATAGAGAGCTATCGCCGATAAGATAACGTAAGCTTCAAATCACCTCGCGCATATTCAATCCGTACGATATTAATATGTTAAAAATTATCCGTGGCGTAAATAAAAAGACCGCGAGTGTGTGTTGTGTGTGGTCCGAAAACGGGCAGTGCATTAAAATGCATATTAACTCGTTCGGAGCGACCATTACTAATAAAGTGACATTCGCTCCGGGCCACGAGAAGAAGACCCGGATGGACTCTTATTAAACTAGCGGTTGAGTTGATGTGTTTATTATTCTTTTCGGGTCATGTAGACTATTTGTTGCTCTGCTTTCTTTATTTATGTCTGGTAATCTAATGACATCGGTACCGTTATAATAAGTACCTTTAATTAAAATAACTTTATAGATTATCGATGGATGCACTGATAGGGGATTTTTAAAAGGCTTATGTACTTTATTATCCATGCCTCCGTTCTATAAGATTAAAGGCTCTGATAATAATAATAAAACTACCCCGATGGTAGGTATGTTCACATAAAACACATTACATCGTTCCATAAAAATCCGTACTATATCTCGAAGGAAACTATTTCTCCTCTTTTCTATATTTAATCCGGGACATTAAATCGGCTAAGGTTAATTAGCAAAAGATAAGTTACAGGCAAAAGCAAAACGACTGGGGAGAGAGATCAAAAGTAGCGCGGTAAACAATCTATTAAAATTAATGGCCCCACTATATTAAAACATGGACGTACGGATGGATAAGTGAAATTATTACGGCATCCACCGTATGTGTAAGTACTTAAATCGAAAAAGAGGAACGTTTTCTGTGTGGCATTTTATGGCCTGATAGTATTAAAACAGGCGCGCATTACATTAATTACAAAAAAATAAGGGTCATCTGGGAATTTTGAATAAAAAATTGACATTGGCACACAAAAAGTATCGTTGGCAACAAAGACGTTTTAAAAAGCCACTCAACCAAGAAGCGATTATCTTAACCGGTGTTAATAAACCAAAATTAGCCGGTTGTAAGTCACCGGTTATCGCGGAATTAATTGGTCCTGATAAATTCCTGGTCGCTATCTCGGCACTCATTAGCCACAAAGCGATGCGGAGCTTGCTGCAACCGGGAGAATTTATTTTCTGCATCATCCCGTGATAATAATATGTTGAAAATAGTGAGAGTGATTTTTCAAAATTCACATGCAGGCAAGAATTCTCTAGCACCAGCATAAGAAAAAATTCCTTATAGCTTTTACTCAATATGTTAAAAGATTTACTTTCCATATAAGACGTTACATTTTCTCTTTTTTACAGTCTCTTTGGTACGTGCGTACGACCGCAATTATGCTATACATGCAAAATCATTGCAAAATACCCACCGTAGTCGCCGTTCGTGAAAAAACTTTTACGGCCTTTTCAGTTCGGTTTTACTTTTCGATTAACGATTATTGCAGCGAAACTGTTACTATTGAATAAATGTCGAGACGTGTTCTGGTGCATAGAATGATCGTTACTCGATCTTTCATGTTAACGCTTTTTGTTCCGACAAAGAAAAAATTATATTAATTTGCTTTCGACCACACAGTTCGCATTATCAGTAGTTGATGGTTGTTTTTGTTTCAGCACGTCCAAGCCCAAATGCGTCAAGAATGCAAATGTCACGGTATGTCCGGTTCCTGTACCATGAAAACTTGCTGGATGAGGCTGGCGAATTTCAGAGTTATCGGAGACCTTCTCAAAGACAGATACGACGGTGCCACGCGCGTAACCGCACATAGTTCGGCTGCGCTTAAAAACAACAAAGCACACAGCAACAGGTTGCCTAAGAATCCCAAGTTGGCCGCTATTATGACCAATAGCATTCATACGAAGAGGGAGAACAAGAGAAAGCACAAATACGCTTTCCAACTTAAAACGTACAATTCTGAACATAAACCTCCTGGAATGAAGGATCTGGTTTTCTATGAACTGTCACCAGGATTCTGCGATAAAGATCCTAAACTGGGAATTCAAGGTAGGTTTAGCACAACTTTTGTCAATTATTGTGAATAAATGGCTTTCTTCTACTGCATAAAACGTAGTAAAATGGTTGGTGAACTTTTCTCTATGATTCAAATTATTGTCATAGGTAGATTTAGATAGTACATTTTGAAAAAAAGTGTGCTCTAACTTTTATGTTTATGCGAATTTGATAATAACTGTTTGTAGTTTTTGTGAAAAATAGTGAAAATAATTAAAACAACGTACCTATATATTTCTGTTTCTATTCAATGATGAGATATTAGATGCCAATTATAGAGCTTTTGAAGATGATTTGAATGCTCCTTCCTTACGAAAACTTGTTCAAGCTATTTTATAATAGCGGACACTGAGACATTCGTAAGGCGCACATTGAGACACATGCGACGCAACCCAAACAAGACAGCACAAGCCACGTTTTTGTATCATGTAGCGAACACAGGGAATGCCACGAATGCGTCAAACAAAACATGCGTCCCTCAGTGTTTGGGCCACAGATTCAGATTCGTGTGCGTCTTGTGCCAAATAGGAAAAATGCAGTAAAAACTGAACTGACTCAATTTGCGTTAGCCGACCCGGGATTTTGAGAAGAGGAACGTAGGTGGCGCCGAGCATAGCGCGGCTAACAACAGCAAGAGGCTCCTCCGAAATCGTGGAGCACACCCTGGAACCGCTGTCGCATTACTTCAGAGTGTCTCGCGTTGTTATGTTTTCTCAATCCCTACCTCGTTTTATTTATTTTAACTATTTACAATGAAATGTCGTCTAATCTAATTCTATGTACAAGTTATACTTACGCTAATTAACTTTATCCATGGCGTCAGGCGACTTGTCTTCTTCTTTCTTCCTGCTTCTTGTCCTTCATTATCTTCCTCAGCATACTAGTGATACTTTGCCATTTTTCTTCACTTTCCAGTACGAGGTCGCCGATATTTTCCATATTTATAACTGCGCCCACCTTTGTCTCAGTCCGCATTCTTAGATCCTCCCATTTGGGGTACCTGAAGATAGTCTGTTCAGGGTTTTCTTCCTCCTGGCAGAACCAGTGCTCAGCGCTCTCCGTCTTGCGTATGTTCGTCAGGTAACTACCGAAGATTCCGTGTCCAGTAAGTCCAGATTGGATGGAGTAGTAGTCTTTCTCTCCAGCCACCGTCTTATATCTTTGATAAGGATTTTAAACCATCCCCCGTATTTACTCCATTCGCGTTGCAATGTGTTATAGGTTTTTTCTCTGGCTTCTAGTCTAGTCTGTCCGTTGTGAATGCTACATGCTTCAGTTATTTTTATTTTCATTGGGGGAAACCGGCAATAGCCAGGACTGCACTTGTCGCCACAATTCGATATGCAGAGGTTATCATTATAGCTAGTTTCCTGTTCACGCGTTCCATCATGTTTTCGTAATGCTTGAATTTTAGGACTTTCTACCATATTGGGGCCCCGTATACCAAGAGGAGTGTGCTGATGCTGCCAGTACACTACGTTTGGCAGAGCTGGGACCACTTGTCTTACCCGCGATTCTCGCCAGTTTCATAGCAAGTTTACTGGCTTCTCCGACATGGGAGGTTATCCTCAAGTTTTTGTCAATAATTACGCCCATGTATTTGAGTGCACCTTTGCTTTGTATAGAGACGCCTTCTATGTCAGCTGAGCATGGTGCTGATTTCCTTTTCGCACCTTATTCGATCATCGGTGTTTTCTCTGGGGCCAGATTAATCCCCATGTGCTTGAGCGTCTGGCTGACCCTCGTGATAGCGGCCCGCATATTGTTTTGCATAGTATTATGCTATTTTTCTCTTTTGTTATTATTGCCAAGTCGTCTGCGTGAGCAACTAACTCGGTCTAGCATCTCAAATTAAGTCTAAGTATCTCATCATAGAAAATATTCCACAGCGTTGGTCCAAGTACTGACCCTTGCGGGACGTCGCAAAACAGTTGGATCTTCTGTCCCCAAGTGGTAACAAGTCTATTTGTGAAGTATGATTGTATGATTTTTATGAGGTATCTGCTGATTTTTGCCTTTTTCAGTGCCTCTATTATGCCTATCCATGGAACCGAGTTGAAGGCGTTGCGTATGTCCAGTGTTATCATAACGCATAGTTCCTGGTTCTTGTATGCTTTAGTGCCTATTGCTTCAGTTGTTGTTTGGACTTTCTTCAGTGCGTCGATTGTGGAATGTCCTTTTCTGGAGCCGAATTGGTTTTTGTGTATCACCGATATCTCTTGCAGTTCTTTCTCGAGTCTGTCTTTAATTATTGATTCCAGTAGTTTTCCCATGGAGTCAATTAGACATAATGGCCGATATGTAGATAATGCGTTTTCAGGTTTGGGGATCAGCAGCGGGTTGGCCAATCTCCAAATGTCAGGGAAGCTTCCGTTTTCCAGGCAATATTGCATGACGTCGCGGGTTTTCCTCAGGTTGTTAAGCACTATGTCCTTGATGTTTGCTGGCGGTATATTGTCTGGTCCCGGTGCTTTGTTTGTTTTAATTTTTTTGCTTGCTGCTGCGACTTCCTTTATGTCCAGTTCTGGGGTTTCGTTGTGGGCAATGCTAATTTCGGGCCAGTGAATTAGTGGTTTCTCTGGGAAAAGCACTTCTATTTGAGCAGTTGTGTCCTCCTTGCTAGGTAATTCCGTGGTTGAGATTTAATTTCTTTGTAACTTTTTGGTAGTTACGCCTTTCCCGATACGTCATTTTCCAGTTCTTCGCACAGTGAGTTCCAGGTTTTTTTCTTTTTCATTATTGTCGCGTTTAGTTATTTTTTCACAGTTTTGTATTCGTTAGTGGCATTGGTAATTTGGGCTGCGTTAGCTGTAGGTTTTTTCCTGATTCTATAAAGGCACCTCCGTCTGCTTATGCAAGTTTTCCGTAGGCTGGCTATTTCAGGTATCCACCAGTAGGTCGCGGACCGGTTCTTTGGGGGTCTTTTCCACGCTGGGAAGCTTTTGTTGCAGCATTCCTTGATGGAATCGGTTAAGGTCTTTGGTGCGTCTGCAGTGTCTACTTTTCAGCCTTTTCTAGTGGGCAGTGTTGTGTTGGAGGGTTCGCTGTATGGATTGTTTCTAATTGTAAACTGGTCAATAAAGTTTTCCTCATTCTCGCATACGTGCCAATTGGTTATCTTTGTGCTGATGTTGGAGCTGACGGGTTTGTGTTTCTGAAAGTGGGGACAAGTCCAGTGTTCATGATAACAAGGTTATTTTTTGCTATCCAGTCGTCCAGAATCTCCCCTCGTTTGTTTACCTGTGGTGATTCCGCTGCCAGTATGTTCGCGTTTCGGTCTTCGCCTATGATACATGGTTTATAACTGCTCCTAGTATGTTGTTCCAGGCTGTCCAGAAGTTCTTCTCTACCATTCGGGGAAAAGTAACAAGAATATACGATGATTGTGCGTCGTGCACTGTCCTAACAAACCGTATCCTTAGTTTGGCATATTGGGCAGCTTTCCTCACCTGTACAGTCTTTTGCTTGGTGGGCCTCATTGCCACACCTGTAGCATGCTTTTGTTCTGTCGGGGCCGTTGCAGTTGTCTGTTGGGTGCTCGTGTGACCAGCACTTACGGCATCTATTTATGGTGTACCTTTTTTCTATTATATGGCATCTTTCGAGACCTATTCTGATGTAGCTGTCTGTGTTTAATTTATCTGATAGTTCTCTGTCGATTGTCAGAGCGATTGCCTGCGTTCCATTTGCTTGTGGCCTGATCTCGCTGAATTTGTAGGAGGTGTCTCCTAGCTCGCCTGTTTTTTCTTGGATCGCTTCAAGTAGTTCATCTTTAGTTGTGTCCATGCCTCTTATGTGTAGAGTTTCTTTTGTGTTTCTAGGGGTTCCACTGAATCGTGTTTTGACTTTCTTTGGATTGCTGTGTTTATTTGTTGTATGGCTTCGTCATCTTTTTCTACCATGATTAGGAGCTTCCTTTCTTTGGTATTTCTTATACTGGTGATTTTTTCTTTTCCAGCTGTGCAGGTGAGTTTGCTTTTCACCTCTCTTTGAGTCTCTATCCTTTTCTTCTACGATCAGTGCATATGTTTTTCGTTCGGATCTATTTGTCGTGTTTGTCTGCGTCTCTTCGAGAATCTTTCTCCGCGTGGTGTAGATATTCACTTTGGTTTTAGCTTTATGAGAAATTACCTCTACCATTTTTCTGAACCGTTCCAGCGTCATTTCTTCGACATAGTTTACGGCGACCATTCTGTCGCCTTGGGTCTAGTTTAAGGCCTACTAGCTTTTGCCATAGGTTTTCGGGGTTTGAGCCTGGGGTTATTTTAATGATCTTCTGGGTAATCACTGTTGCCTGTCCGTTGGTTTTAGTTTTCGTGGTTTGCTCTAGTACCTCGAAATCCTCTTTGAGATTTTGTATACCAGGGTACCTTGCTCTGTACAAAGCTTGTATGCTTTGTTCCATGTGCGGATCTTTCTCCTCGACTAGGATTACTTTAACCGTATCGGGGGCGGCGTTTAAAGGGTTACCTGTAATAACTTCTGTGTTTTGAAAGTTGTGTTTTGTCCAAGTTTCTTGTTCTTCTGCTGTCCATTTCTGGTATGTATCAATTCCCTCAATTATGACCTCTTCTGTCTGCGTGCTCTGGTCGCGGGCTATTTTACTAATGGTTAGGCGGCAGGTACAGGGGACTTCTTTTGTTATATGTTGATCTTTCAGGAGGCTTGTTTGGAAGTCGATCTAATATGTCATTTTTTCTGCCCTTTCGTATCTATGCCTTTGCAGCCAACCTGTAACGTATGTTCCCTCCAGTACTTCTACCTGTCTGCTAAATTATTTCACAATATCTTTAATATTACGTTTTTTGTTTTGCTCGATGTGCTCATTCAGCTGTGAGCTCAGTACTTAAATTATGTCTACTGTCTGTTTTTTTTTTTTTAAGATAATTCCCGAAGTCAAAAATTTAGTAACTATGTTAGCAACACAAGCCTTTTCTACATGAAAAATTTGAAAGCATTGGCAATTTTACATTGTATTGCCAACATAATGTCATTTTGACTGTTATCTTAAAAAAAAAACAGACTTTAGGGCCTCCTTGAGGGCGAAAAATTCAGGGGCCACTTTCTTCTCATATGCCCCTTCATCAACATCAGTTGATGTTTCTAGCTTCTTCTTGACTCTCCTTTCCAAACTTGAAGAGCTGCTTCTTGCTGCTGTATAAACTGAGCTCTTTTTGCCATCATCCCATATTAAGTCTAGAGTAAGTGAGGCTTTTTGGTCTTTGCTGATGTTCCCGTGTCGGGGTCTGTGTCTGTTCCAGGAGCTGCCACCTGCGCCCCGGCCTAGTTCCCTACCAGGAGCGCTGCACATACAGTCGTCTGATAGCGGTCGGGTCTGGCTTGTACCTCCACCAGTATTCTCGACCGGTACTGGGGTATCCCTCCTCGGCACCGTAAACGTTTCCTCGTCTTCTTTCCATCATTTTTTTTTCTGTTCGTTTGGGAAGGATAAACAATAATAAAAGGGGAGGAAGTGTGGCAGGATGAGGGGAGATAAATGGTCAGTCGCTGGGCCCCTCCACCAACGGCCAGGTCTCACAGCTCCTCGGAGGGGGCGTCAGCCGGCCCAGCCCACGAATCTCGTACACTGTGTCGTTTGTGCTGCACTGCGTGAGTTGCGTCGCATGTTTCTCCAATGTGCGCTTTGCGTAAGGCAAAGCACACATTGAGACACATGCGACGCAACCCACGTAAGGCAGCACAAGCCACGTTTTTGTATCATGTAGCGAGCATTGCACGTCCGTACATTGAGGCGCAGCACAGGGAAAGCCACGAATGCGTCAAATAAAACATGCGTTGCTCAGTGTTTGAGACACAGATTCGTGTGCGTGCGTGCTTCTCAAATTTGTCAAATAAGAAAAACGCAGGAAGAACTGATTCAATTTGCGTTAGCCGGCTCAGCCCACGAATTATATGCACTGTGTCGTTTGACAAAACATTAGACGTACCCCGGTCACAGAGCTTCGGAGTCGCACGCATCATCTGTCATTTCTTTGTTTGTCAGTTCTAGCCTGAGGTTCCAGCGCAGCTGATTATTTGTTTATGTTTCAATTTGAAATCGTGATCTTTATGTTGAGCATTATACAAAAGTTGAGAGGTGTTGGTAGTCCAAATATACAACATATAACCATTAACTTTGTACTTCTTTGCTTGTATTGTTATGCTAGTTATGATATCATGATTTTAATGGTGTTTATAAATTGTTACTCATCTTCCTTTCCACTAGGAGATTTATTCATCTATGAAAATAAAAGGGCTGAGGAAGTTGATGCAATTTTATTAACAACACTCGAAACAAGATCCGCGAGTAGTGAAACTAACATATTTTATATAAATCCGCAAGTGGCAGACCTTCACTTTATTTTTTAAAGGTCCCCGTTTGGCGCAGGGAATATCTTCACTAGATTCAAGATTGGTGAATTGAAAACCTAGACTTACCCAAAATAACCAGTCCGTCTAGTGGTATCTAAGTCCTTGTAAATAAGCATTTTATTTAAAAAACAAAGCGCGTTCAAGGGACGCTATGCTCTAAACTAAATTAACTTGTTTTTTTTTTTATTAAATGGTAACTTATGAGGACTAGATCCCACTAGTCCACTAGATGGACAGGTTAGTTTGAGTAAATCTGCATTTTCTGTCTAATAGAAAGAAGCTATTCGCGCTAAAAAAAATTGAATCAAAAACATTAAAATAGAAAAAATTCGAAATTTAGGTTTTCAAAAAATAAACATGAACCCTAGGAAATTTTTATTTTTTCTTAAAAATTGTCAATTTTTCTGGAAGGGCAGAAAGTACATATTTTCAGATCACGAAAACATTAGGGCTTAAAACTTAAACAAACAAATAATCTGCTGATTAGCTGATCAGTGAGGGTGGAACGCTGGCTAGAACTGACAATAATGCGATGCGCGCAACTTCGAAGCCCTGTGACGGGGACGGCTAATGTCTTGTTGTCGTTTGTGCTGCCCTGCATGGGTTGCGTCGTGTGTGTCTCCAATGTGCGCTTTGCATAGAATGTCAAATCGTTGCAATCAGCAGAGATTCAGAGAAATATCTAAAAAGTAATTTCACCCTTTCAGGCCAATTTATTTAAAAAAAAATTTGAAGAAATAAAATTAACAATAATTTGAATTAAATAAAAAACAAAACTCTACGTTATTTCCCAACAAAAGGTTGCATGTGTATTGCAATGACGATAGAATTTTTTTTTCTGACGACATCCGGAGGAAAAAAACCCATATTAGAACCAAAAATACCCACTCCTTTTATCAATGGATTTAAATGAGTCATTATACTTTGATCATAGGATATAGCTATTCTACAGTTAGATCAGAATAACTCCTAATTTATATATTTCTGACCGATTTTCTTTTTGTTTCAGGAACTTATGGTAGACAATGTAACGATACGTCAGACGGTGTGGATAACTGTGCGATTATGTGTTGCGGGCGTGGTTATAAAACTCAAGAAGTGGTCGTCATGGAACGTTGCAATTGCATTTTCCATTGGTGCTGCGAAGTGAAATGCGACGTGTGTAAAATAAAGAAAAAAATTCACACGTGTGTATAAGTAGGTTTTTTTTTTTTTTTTGAATTTGAACAAATTGTCGTTTTCATCTTACCAATTTGGTAAGCAAACTGGATATTGATGAGGACGTTTTGTTTATGCATTGACCAGTATTAACGGAACGCAGTGTTTTAGAAAATAATATGAAAACTATTTTTCGAATATTATTATTGTTAGAAAGACTGACCAAACGAATATTTTAAATATAAAACTTTTTTTGTATATATAATTTATTTTTTTAATTTGAATTCTTGATATAGTCTTTTTTTGGGGCATATCTCTAAATTTTTGTACATATCAACTGAAAAAATATATGTTCGGATAAATTAATAAATTTAATATTAAGTGACCCAGTGATAAAACTTAGTGTACTTTTTTTTATTAAATTATTCCTTATTTATTTTTGTCTAATTGTAAATAATATTTAAAAAAAATCAGCCGTAGTATCTCAAATATTTTGTGCATATTTTTAATTTATTTGCATAAAACGAGAAACCCAAGTGATCTTTGTATATAAATTTTATTGTAGTGATTTGTAGATAGTGATTTTTTTTTTCAATTTTTGCCTTGTATAATATCTTAATTGTTTTATTGTATAAAATATTATTTAATAATAACCAATTAAGAATTAGTTTTTGACTTTTATTTTATTCGACGTGACTCCAAGGCTTTGATTCGAAGGGCTATGCTATATTGAGCTCACCACTATTTCCTTTTCTCTTCTTTATCATTCTTTTGTCGGTAAAATATTTGAAACCATTAATTTATTTTTTCTACTGACATTCTATAATACGCTAATAAACGATTAATAGTAGGTATATTATGATAGAGTAGAGATAATGTACCTACCAACAACTGCTAGTTCGGGAACTTTTGGCTAAAACTATAATAATGCCTTTCAAAAAAAAAAAAACAACAATTTTCGAAACCGGCACCTATGTTCGGAGTTTCAGTGCAACCACGAGCACAAAATCAACATCAATACAGATCCAATAACTATTTCAAACCTGACCCAAATGCAGGTCCTTCAAGATATACAATCAAAGAGATTGATAATATCTTTGAAATCGAATTACCTGATCCTGATTATAGAGAGACAAATTCTGAAGAAAATCAAGTCGAAAATTTTCAGTTACCAGCCTTGGAGGCAATGAGTCAGCATTAACTTTAAATGCTTATCAAATCAACCAACTGCCTTTTATTCAAATAGACTATCTACCGTGTAAATTAATAATTGACACAGGAAGTCATGCCTCTTTAATAAGACCCTCAATAGCAAAAGAATATTTTTCAAATTCTATAATTAATTCACGAAACAAATCAACAACTTGTATAGGTACAAGAAAAACCCAAGAAAAAATCAGTGTTCCAATTTCACAAGAATATGATATCTAAAACAACATTGAAATGATAATCTATAATTTCCATGTTTATTTCGATCGAGTTATTGGAATCAAATCATTACAAGAAAACAGGCCCGAGAAGAGAGGGGGGAAGACGGGACAAATTGCCGGGGAAAAAAAAAAGGAGGGGCTCGTTATTATTTATTTGGGAGACCAAAAAAAAAAAGGGCCCGGTATTATGGCCCGACCCGGCTCTCGGCGGCCCTGCAAGAAAATAATTTAAATATAGATTTTTCTAATATGCTTCTTTCTAATAATAAAACAACAATTCCGTTTCAATATAGAACATATTTCGAAAATCAAAATTTCGAGATTTCAAGCAACTCAATTCAAGTATGTTATTCCAATACAAATATAGCTGATGGCGTTACACCTCCAATAAAAAATGAAACATATCATATTCCCTCGACAATAACGACAGTCATGAACGAGATGGTAGTTTTAGAAGTACACAACTTAATGAATAAGCCTAATACTAAGTTTACCTTATAATATGCTGATGAACATTTTGAGATATTTAATATAGAACAAATGACTTCATTACAAAATGATGAATATGCAAATGACCCTATAAAGTCACTAACTACTACGTATTAATCATTTAAAGAATTTGATGCCATAAAACACGTAATTAAATCTTTTCCTAAAATTTTCCACAAGCTAAATGAAAAATTGACATTCACCAATAAAGTCAAATATGAAATTGAAACAACAGCAAAATACCAGTACACACGAAAGATAACAGAATAGAATATGTCTAGCATACATGGATGATATTATAATTTTTTCCACTTCACTTCCTGAGCATGTGAAAAATTTAGAGAAAGTATAGATTGGAGACTGGAGAAATTTAATTTAAAAATACAGACGAATCAGAATTCCTATACCAGACAGTCGAATTCTTAGGACACGTAATCACACCAAATGGAATAAAACTGAATAAAAAAAAATAACGGCAATTAAAAAATTCCCAATACCAAGAACGGTGAAAGAGATAAAATAATTTTTAGAATTTTGCCAATATGACAAAACCAATGACTTCTTGTTTGAAAAACGACAAAAATAATGATACACAATGCAGAATTTCTCAATAGCTTCGAAACTTGCAAAAGTGTATGAATAGAGGACCCTATATATTACAACATCCTGACTTTAAGAAACATTTTTTATTGACAACCGATGCCTCGAACTATGCAATTGGAACTGTTTTATCTGAAGGTTCTTTCGGAGCTGATCTTCCCATTGCATACGCATCTAAAACTTTGAACCCAGCTGAATGTAATTTATTCGACGATTGAGAAAGACCTTTCAGCAATCGTATAGGCAACAAAATATTTTCGACCTTATCTTTTTGGTAGAAAATTCACAATTTTGTCAGATCGCAAACCTTTACAATGGCTATCAGGGGCGCCGGGTTTCAGAAAACCTCGTGGGTGCTGATGCTCATACACTGGCATTTGGGAGGGGTGGTGAAAAGACCGCCGGTGCCGAAAAAACTTTTCCGGATGCCACGCTTAAAAACGTTTACCAGCATTCTTTAATTTACATTCGGATGAGTGTCTAAGAAGGGAATGGTAATACATTTCAAACAACGTAGTTCACACCTTTCCATATTCGTTTTCCAGCTGCGGGAACAAGTGTTGCTTGGACCCGCTTGGTGTTTGCGTAAGTTTTTTGCGGTGTCTGCTAAAATTGGAAAAAAGGACGGCTGTGAGGGTAAAATGTGGAAAAGTCTCCTGCAGATCTTCTTTCCCAAGCAGCATGTACCGAAAATCTGCGTTTTACGCCGTTTTCCAAGATTTCTGATTTTCTTTATCTTCTTCTTCTTTTTCTAAACAAAGTACCACCATGTTCCGATGTCAACTGCCAGTACTGGATTCACTGTGCTGATTTAACTGTCATTTGCCGTTCCGATTTCAACAGCGTACTCTTGTGGTCATTCAGTACTGAATCGACTGAATCCAGTGTACTGAAAATAATATCGGAACGGCGTCTAGTAAATTCAGTACTAACAGTTGATATCGGAACATAGCCTATATAAGGCTATGGTCCAAATATAACCAAACGTTAATCACTACTATAATACCATTTCCAGCATTATTTCACACTAGTGAAATTTGATTTCAAATTAATGAAAACTAAATTCAAATCAGTGAAATCTAATTTCGCTCAAATGAAAATTAATTTCAAAGTAACGAAAACTAATTTCACATTTTCGAAAATGAATTTCAAACTGACCGTATTAACATCAACAATTTATTTCACCCTAATGGAATAAACCCACTGGGTTTAGCTAACAACATAAAATACAATCATGAAACAACAATAATAATTATTAGTTATTTATACACCACGTGAGTTAAATGAATGTTTATTCATGAGAAGAAAGTTTAACCCACGAGCCCTAGCGAGTGGGTTAATTTTCTTCGAATGTGATGTATACAAATTTTTTTCCCATTTTTTGGAAATTTAAAAAATAAAGTACAAGGAAAAATACCGAGAGTGAGTTAAAAATATTTAGAATCACTGAGGTGTCAGATTTTTAGTTGAGCAGAGTGACTTAAAATGCCGAAAGTGAGTTAAATTTTTTTTAAGTCACTAAAGTGATAAACGTCTACTTACCTTTATTATTATGCGTTCAACAATGCCATTTTTAAACGTCAAAATGGCATAAAAATTATTTAAATAAATTAAACGTCAGTTAAGTCTTCTTACTCTTAATATAGCGGCATAATACCTATCAATACGATTTGCGAAACTGAAGTTTAATTTATTTAAATAATTTATAATTATTATTGTTGTTTCATGATTGTATTTTATGTTATGTGAACTCAGTGGGTTTATTTCATTAAGGTGAAATAGACAACATTAGTTGATGTTTTTTCAAATTATAATAATAAATGTTTGAGAAATGAGTATTAATTAGGGTCAGTTTGAAATTAATTTTCGAAAATGTGAAATTAAATTTCGTTTGTGAGAAATTAGTTTTCGTTACTTTGAAATCAATTTTCATTTGAGCAAAATTAGATTTCACTGATGTGAATTTAGTTTTCATTAATTTGGAATCAAATTTCACTAGTGTGAAATAATGCTGGAAATGGTATAGTGTGTTTATTTTAGTGGCATACAGACGTAATAATTAAAAGTTGATGAAAAATTTTCTTGTCTCGACTGGGATTTGAACCCAGGACCCCTACATTTCTAGGGTAACGCTCTACCAACTGAGCTACCAAGACCTGTTTCATTTCTACCTTGTCGATCAAGTGTTTCATCAATTTTTAAGTTGTTAGTTTTTAACCATCGGCATGGTCGGGCATCCTATTCCGATGCCTGCCGATGTCGCTATATGTCGACGACGCATCCTGGTTGAAAAGATAACGGATTCCAAAAACAACCATTAATTGCGAATGTGTTCCCCATACCTCTTAACTCACTCCCAACCAGCGGTAATCGCCGAAGGTTGCCGATGGTCAAAAACTGACAACTTAAAAATTGATGAAAGACTTGATCGACAAGGTAGAAATGAAACAGGTCTTGGTAGCTCAGTTGGTAGAGCGTTACACTAGAAATGTAGGCCCCCGTCACAACACCACTCTTCTTGCAGCCAAAATCTGCTGCGACACCTTCCAAGCGTTCAACAGGCGCATGAACACGACACTTCTGCTCCTAGATATGGAGCGCGCCTTCGATAGGGTCTAACATGCAGGCCTTATCTACAAATTACTCGCAACTTTCAATTTCCCACTGCACATCATCTCCCTGATACAGTTTTTCATCAGCGGCCGCTCTTTCTGCGTCAAACAAGAAGACGCCCTCCCACACTCTAAACCTATTTCGGCCGGAGTGCCGCAGGGGTCGGCACTTAGTCCGTTGCTATACTCTCTGTACACAGCGGACATTCCAAAATTCCAGAATACAAATCTGGTGCTGTACGCAGATGACACCGCTGTTAACGCTCAATCCTTTTACACACAAGCAACAAAATTTCAGCTCGCCCATCACCTCGCAATCCTTCAACCTTATTACGATAAGTGGAAGCTTGGTGTTAATGGTCAAAAGACAGAGCTCATATGCTTCCACAAGAAGCATACCAATAGCACCATGCCC